AATATTGAATATATTTACCTCTATTTCTTTGAATATTCTTTTTACAATTAAAATTATATTTGAACAAAACAATAAAACATGATTATGGAGCATTTATTTAAACAATATTTACAAGATATATATTTTATATAAGAAATAAAAAAACAATAATTATGCTATATCTGTTATTTTCGCCTTAGATATCTGTTATAATATATAAACCATTATAACCTGCAAATCTTATTTGGAGATATTCAATGTTCAATATAAATTATATATTCATATCATGTCGTATGAAATTATAAACATATATACTATTCTTATAAAGGTAGTAATTTTTAAGTAACAATATACCAAACATATGTTTTATCACTTCTTTAATTAAGATAATTGTGATAATTATTCAAATAATGCGTCTGACTGATCGAAATGAATTATGTTCAAGAAAACTGCTACATATTTTTCCAAAACAAAAAATAGCTTTATTCTAACGTAAGAACATATGTTGTGAAATAAACAAAAATTGCATTTATTACATGATTTATTCTTATACATTTAAACCTAACTTCATAAATCATGTAAATTTTTGGAAATATGAAGACATAATATGGAGTAAAATTAAAGTGAAAAGAGTGTTTTATTTAAAGAATTGTAAACATATTTTATTAAGTAATTAATTTCTGTAATTCTATTATTTATATGAACGAAGATTATACCAATAAACAATTTATTCGTTTATTTATGTAAGATACATTAAAAAAAACACTTAGGATCATTAGACGTATGCTCTCAGAAGAGTTATTAGAATCAAATACCTTGATAAATTCCTTTAAAGAGTAATATATGTTATTAATTTAATTTTATGTTATACTTTAACATTTATAATTTATGGTTTTTTTTGCTTAAAACCATTTTGAGCGTATACGTGGTCAAAGCACAGATTATATCTCTATACATACAGATTTTTATTGTCTATGTGTATTTTCGTTTAAATCATGATGAACAATGTTCATTCCTTAAAAATAAGATAAGCATGTAATGAAATTAATTTATGTCATCAAATACATCTAATATCTAGAGATAAGTAATTTTTATTCCTTTTATTATTAGTACATTTTTTGACTTAATTAAACACCAAATTTAGTATTTCATGGATATATTATATACAGGATTTTATGTCTTAAATACATATGCATAGATATTTCTTATATTATTATCAAATAAAAATTTACTAACTTTATTTTTATTTATTATAAATTAGTTATAATTTTGATAATTTATATAAAACAAAAATTATAATAATATATAATTAAAGTTGTAAATTCATAGTAATTCTTTATTAAACACAAAATTTATCCTAAGGATAGAATGAGGGATCACAAATATTAGGTAAAATTGTGCCCTCCTATACACTATAATTAATTTATATTATTATGCTTTTGTAATAAAATCAATTCTACCACTTTTCCATATATATTTTCCTTAAAAATATTTCAACATTTTAATTTATTTGTTATTCGCATATTTACAGTATGGTTACATTATTTTAACCTTATATTTTTATTAGTATTTAAATAACTCTCATTAAATTTTCATTCTTGTATTAAAATATAAATTATCCATGATAAATCTAATTCATTGTTACTTTTTAATTATTCTTATGCAATTTATGTTGTAACGTGAATTATACATAAATTAAAAATTTAGTAATCAAATTTGATTCATGGAATGCTAATATTTTATATAAAAAAATACAATAAATTATGTTCTATTAAGAATAAAAATATACATTCATATTTATGTACTATAAAATTTATATGAGAAGAAGTTAGGAAGCATTTTATAAGTTGTAAAAAATTTCGACTATAAATAAAAGTCAAAAAAAAAGAAAAAAAAATATACCTGCATAAAACAAATAATTGTAGTAAAATAACAATAAATACAAAAAATAAATGATATATAAAATCTAGTGCCTTCAAGGCACTAATAAAATTTATATGTCATAAAATTATACATATCATTATTATAGCATTTCGGGAACATTTTATAATTACTGTTAATGTATATTATATGAATTATTAAAAATATTAAAATAAAAAATTATTAGTTACATCCTGAATATAAAAAAGTTTTAAATGAAGTTCATTAAAACTATATAATGAAGTATACTGCAATAAATACATATGATTCTTGTCAAATACATTTTTATTATTACAACAATTTGTAATTTTGACATGTATCAATATATTGTATTTTTATTTATTACATAAAATAGTTAGAACAAGAAAAAGGTTGAGTACGTACTAAAAAAAATTGATGAAATTAATAAATATACATTTAATAACACATATTGTAAGAGAATAATATTGCGGACATTATTATATTTTTTTTAATGAAACGTTATATTTTTGAACTTACAAATATATCTTAAATTTTTTCCCTTATAATTTAAGTAATATTTTATCTTTATATGAAGGCTTTAAGAGTTATTTTCTCAATAAAATTGTCTTATAATATTTCATATATATTTTAAAGGAAATTTATTCATCTAACAATATATTTCACATTATAACTATGTAGAATTATATAATACATCATATATCCTGTTCCTTGAAATATTACTTGATATTTCAGACGACTGCATTGAATTCCATTCATCATATGTATTATTACACTTATTTCTATTCCTTTTAATAGGAAAGTTCATGAATGAACCATAGGGAATGAACTAATTTATAATAAAAAACATTTATATATTAAAATATATAATACTTTAAAGATATATACATATTCATTTTGAAATATATTAAAATATTATTTCATATTATATATATATAATATAAATATTAACCTTATAAATAATAACTAACAAAGAAGATATTACTAGTGTTATAACAATAGTAATTATGATAGATTTCACAATATTAACTTGGCAGTAATGTAATTCTTTTGGTGTACTTGTTTTATTAGTCTCAATTATTACTTGAGGATTGTATTTATTCATGATATCTTTTATTGTATTACAATAATTCTCATTTTTATTAGGTTCACATTTATTTTTTATCAAAATAAAGCTTTTATACATATCATGTAAATTCATTAGATCCTCCAACTCATTATCTGGAATGTATTTTTCCTTATATTTTTTTAATCTAGTATGAGAATACCATGATTCATCAAATTTCTCGATCAATTCCTTATATAATTTCTTAATGTCCTCAACATTTCCCCCCTTTTTTAGTTTATACTTGTATATCCAATAATAAAAGTATATAAAAGCGGTTTCTTCTAAAGAACTCTCATATGTAGTATATACCTTATCTAAATATGCCAAAGACTGATAGCATATATCTTCAACATTGGAATTAAAGGTATTTGGAAATTTTCCTTTAAAATAATTGCAATAATTCATGAAATCTTTTTCTGTTTTCCAATCAATATTATCTATAATTTGTTCCCATTTAGGAAAAAATTTTACAGGTTCAAACTAAAAATAAGTAAAATATAATAATATGCCATAATTTATATAATTATTAACATATTTTACAAATTCATAAATTCACACATATTTATTAAAATTTCATGAATTATATTTTAATAATTGAAGAATACCATAGTTTCTATCATCATAAAAATAATTATATCTTATTTCAGATGATCAAAATAAAACAATTATATTTATAAACATATAAAGATCAATTTTTATAAATAATATATACTAGGTGTTAATAGGAATTTTTTTACTGTTTCTTTTAATTACCCCTCCTATAGGAATAGCTCTTACTAATACATAAACGTTATTCATTATAATAACCATAGTATAGTAATAATTATTTATAACATGTAATATATTCTCCTTAATTATTTAGGAGAAAAAATCAAAAATTAATCTCATTATTTTTACGTAAAATATTATACGTGCTTCTTAAAGAATAACACTAATTGTATATAAATTTATAACCATTTTTCAATAACTTTGGTGTTCAGACTAGTTTTGATTGTAAAGAGATTAAATATATATGTGTTCTTAAATATTATTTTAAATATATTATGTATTATAATTAATTTTTCATAATGAATGTATATAATAATTATTTTTTTTTTATAATGAATACATGTTAATTTTTCTTCCTTGTGGAGATTAGTAATTACATTTTTTTTAATTTACTAATCTTGAAAGAAATCTAATAAGCCTCATTTACTTTTCATTTGTTATTATAATATATAAATTATTATTAGTCATAATAGGTAATTTTTTTTATATATTTACGCTATACACTACACAATTACTTCATATATATAAAAATTATTGATTTAATAGCATTTAGTATATTTATTCTTATATCTTATTCTAATTTTTTTTTTTTGAAAAATATGCTAAAAGTATATATTAGTTATTATTTGCATACTATATTATTTTTCATATTCATACTATGTTACCACATTTCATATTTATAATATTTTATGTACCTTCCTTTTTTTTTTTTATTGTATTTTTCTGTTACATGTTAATTGTAGCAATTATTTTTTTATTACTTATATTTTAGAAAACTAATTACGTATTACATACGTCAATTATAACATCGTATATTTTAGTATACACATAGTTATATATATGATTCATATTTGTTAGTATATTGCTATCATTATAATACATATAAAAAATAAGTTTTTATGCCACATTTTTCAGAATTTTTATTCAAATTATTAATATCATTACTTTTTCCATTAATTTTGTGCTATAATGCAGAATTTTAAATTATACGTTTGCTGATATCGCTATATTATTCATATATACATGGAAATATAATTTTGTAATATATAAGCGTATTGTATTTTATAATTATTTATATTTAATTATATTATTTTATATTAAATATTATATTTTTTCTATAAATTATTAGGTGTAAACATAAAAAGAATACTAAAGCATCACAATATATAATGAAAGGACAGAAACAATCATATACTATAAGATTGATATATATTATATTGAATAATAACATGTAATAATAATTTTTATTAAAAAAATATATATGTGAAGGTATTATTATTGTAATATATTATTTTTTAATTTATAATATATATGTATAAAGAATGCAGCATTGATTTTATATCCATTTTTTTAAATCAAGGACATCGTCCAAAAAAATCCTAAATATGGTATTTGAGAAAAGATGCTAATATATGAAAAACATATATAGTTTTTCATATTTTATGTTTTCATTATAAATAATAAATAGTGAAAAATATTTTGATATATATGCAAATTACCTATAATTATACAAAAATTATTGATAAAAGTGCAATTTTCTTAGTCATTAATTCTAAAAAATCATTCATGCATTTCTTCAATTGTCATAAATATTTACATTTTTCAGTAAAATTAAAATAGATCCTAATCTTCATAATATTGAAAAATAAACACTTGTAAGATTTTATAATACATTCAGTTATACTTCATTTGGCATGATATAAAGAAATAATAATAAAAATGTAAATTATGCAATTATAATTAGCTTTTATCATATTAATGTTTTACTATGTATATATTAAAGCACTTATTTATATATATATACCTACTTATGTTATTAACAATAAATTAATAAAAACTTTTTTGAAGTAACTTATGAAAAATGCAACGTAGAAGTAAGATGAAAAATATAATTAAAACGTATTTATGTCTGGGTATATAAAATAGACAGAAAATCCTTACTCTGTAATTGAATAAGTGTCCAAATAATATTAGTTCATAATAAAAATTCAAACAAAATATATAGAGCCATATAATATGTTTTCTATATTCGAAAAATACAATTATTTCATATATATTATGGCTTTTAAAGATAACTAGGTAGAATTTAGAATGCTGAATTGAATCATAATATTTGGTAATTCAACAAGAGCGCAATAATTTGCATTAATTTGTTGTAATACCGTAGAAAATTTAATAAATATAAATCTAAATATATATATTCTAAAAAAAATAATAGTCTTGTATAGATACTTATTATATTATAAAAAATAAAAACAATCTAAGAAGTAGTAATTGTCTTAGCGTGATTACTCTTTTTAATTGTATAAACTGTACACATAGAAGCTTTCAAAAAATACATAAGAACACAATTTTTATATTTTATATAACTCAATCCATTCAATTATAATGGAAATGAATTAAAATATTAATTCCAATTATTGTTTAAATCCACTAAAAAAATAAAAAATAATGGTAAATTTAATGATTCTGTTAAAATATTAGTAGAAAAGAGGAACAAAATATAGAATTTGAGGAAGACATATCGAATGCACTTTATCAACAGGTAAACCATTAACTCAGCATCTTATACATGAATTAAAAAAAAAATTAACTCTAATACTAATGCTACTCTTCATGCTTTTTTTTAACTGGGAGTTTCAATAAATGTTGTTTATCAAACTAGGTATTCAAAATTTCATATAACATATGCTAATATTATACAGGACTATAAAAATATTAGATCACACAATATTAAAAATAAAATAGTTTCAGTTTCTTTAAAATAATAGTCGTATTAAAATAAAGATTGTATATCTTTTGTATATTGATTACATCCATTAATAGGCTCAATAAATAGAAGAAATACAATACTCCTAGAAAAGGTTTTGATTTTATATTTACTCGTAAAAAAATTTTAGTATTTATGAATTGAATCCCAATGAAAAAAAAAATTTAGGACACGGATTTATTATAGATTATTATGCATAGTGGAAGGAAGAATTAAAGTGCAACCAGCAGTCATATATAGTTCGATAAGAAAACAAAGAGTTATATAATATAAAAATAATGAATATAATCCTTTTAATAAGTGCTATGGAATTCTAATATGATAAGACATGCATATATATAATAAGAATTTAATTGAAAATCAAGAAATATATGTATATTTTTAATATATGTAATATATAATTAATTTTATTTTTTTTATAATGTATTACAGCAGATTTATATATAATTTTATACGTATAAAGTATGTACAATGTCTATTTAAATGCATAATATATATATATATTTTTTTTTTTACAAATATATTCAATGCTTTCACTATTATCATGGAATACATTTAATGCTTTTCAAAATATATAATTCATTAATTCATCTTATGTAATATAAATAGTGTAATCTTCTATATCATAGTTATTTACTAAACTACTACTTTGATAAAACAATTATAACAGAATAGATGATTTCTATTTTTTTATTAGTATTATACATTAATAACTTATAAAAAATAGAATAAAATGAAATAAAGATCATAATACAATTCAATGGTGAAAAATAATATATTTTGTTCATATAATGCAATTTATGAAGAAAAAATTCTATTAAAAAATGTATTCACATAATTTATGATAGCGCACAAAGTTTATATAACCTGACACAGAAATTTTAGATTATTGAAATATATTTAAGGCAGTGCACAGTACATTGTAATAAAATATACTCTTTACTGTAAAGTCGAATAACAAAAAATATTAAATTATTTTACATAATATTTATTCTTGTTCACATCTTTATAATATTTTCCACTTGTTAACATTAGATAATATAATTGATGTTTTATATTTATAGCTATTTTTATACATATTAATTTGAAAACAATATAATATTTAACATAATTTTTCTTAATACGTGCTACTTTTTATATCTTAATTTTTTATTAGAAAAAAAAAAAAAAACTTACCGTATATGAATTTCTACTTAATGTACATTACTAAATATATATAGCAATATCATTCTCTTCTTATTTGTGCTTTTTATATTATAATATATTAACTCTATTATGTACAAAAAAATTATAAATATTTTCATAATACTTTACATTTATGATTAATGTTAAAATTATTAAGCATATAGAAACTTCTAAATAAGGAATCTGATTATTTCTATAATAAATTGTTCATATGTTGTATGCTAAAATACAAAATTTTATGAAGAAATTATAACACTCAATTCATATAAAATTTATAAAATTTGAAATTCGCATCAATAAGGAATATAAATTAAAAAAATATATATTTGCATTATATAAAGAAATTTAAGATAAAATCATATTTTCTTTCAAAAAAATATTTTTTATTAAGGTCTAATTATTATATTCGGCATTATATTATGTTTTTTTGTGTAAAGTATTAATTAGACGTATGCATAAATTACTACATTCCGGAACTATAAAAATGATTTATACAGTATAAAATATATTTGACAAAAAAATAATAAGTATTATATTATAACTGAACAGAAAAAATGAAATGTCCTTTAATAATATTTTTTCTTATTTATATAACGGAATATATATTGTAAAAATTTATTTAATATTCTAATATTATTATTTGTCATATTTATTTAATTATAATTATTAAAATTTATGATAAACAAGAAAAAAAATGAAAATAAATATGAAATAAAAGAATAAAATGAATTTTGTTTTTATTAATAACATATGAGAAAAATATTTTTTTATGTCCTAAAATTATTGCTACATGACTATTCATTTTATTAAACTTTTAAATCATTTGACACAATAAAAGGATTGTAATTGGAATTGAAAATTTTCTGTAAAATATCACTTTTTGCTATATTTTTAATTTTTATATCATCTATACATAATAATAATATACTCATAATCAAGTAATATATTTGAACTATAAAATAGACTATGCGTAATATGTATATTCTCTCAAATTAATTATATCCATATATGTATAATTATACAGTTAAATTAGATTAAATAATGCGCATTCATTGAATATTATATATCATTATAGCATTCTTATATTGTTTATAAATTACTTAAATATATTTTATATATATATCCAAATTACATAATTATACGTAAGAAATTTATTACATATAAATAAATAGCCAAAGTATGAATATAAAATTTCTAAAATGAGAAAAACAATTGTAATAATAAATTATAATTGCATAAACTACAAAAAGGAAATATATATTCCATAAATATTATAAATCCTATTCTACAAAGTATTATACTTTTCTTCTTATTATTATATACTTTTCTTTTAGTATGCGTATATGAATAGGTTTCCCAAATGTAAAGAAATTATAGATAAATATAACGATAGGGAAAATACTCTATGGGAATCATTATGTAATAAAATAAAGACGGATAATTCACATTTCATTAGTTCCAGTAATATAGGAATATGCTATCAGACTATGCAATATTTAGGTCATACATCATCAGATAACAATTCATTTGAAGAAGAGAGGTGCAAATACCTTTATTATTGGTTGTATAAAAAATTTAAAGACAAAAATAACACAGAAAATATAAATAGTTTTTATCGTAAACTAATAGAAAAATTTAATGCAGATCCAGAGAATCATAATGCACCAAAAATATGCCTTCGTGATAAAGGAACAATTCCTGAAGATGAATTGAAGAATCTGGAAGATATATACGATATTGAAACAAAGCTTCAAAAATTAAAGCTTTTTAATGCTTGTGATAAAACTAATAGATGTGATTGTGCAGAGGAATGTGCAAAAAAATATAAGCACATCATGGATGTATGTAACTCCAGCTATGACGATGATCTTCATAAAAAATTAGAACATTTTAAAGAAGAATTTATTAATCTAGAGTTAACAACACATTGTGATAATGTTAGAGACATAATTTATCCTCCTTCACAAAATTTTAGTCAAAGAATGCCTTCTGCCAGCAAAAATTCTGCGCATCGTTTTATAATACCAACTATTTTAATAATAATAATACCTCTTATTTTATTTGT